AGGCGATCTGCATCTCGAAGATGGTGTCCTCGCAGAAGCTCACGAAGAGCTCCATCTTCTCGGCCTCGCCGCCCTCGTTGACCACGTCGAAGATGAACTGCCGCTTGGACTCCTTGACCTGCGGCATCTCCCACTGCGCCTTGTTGGCCGCGCTGATCTCGAAGTAGAGGCGCTCGATGCGCCGCGCCGCCCCCATGATCTCGATACGGCCCAGGAAAGGGCGGAAATATTCCAGGATGCTGGCGGCTTGCTCCAGGAACGTGCGCAGGCGCTGGTCGTGCGGAACGTGCTCGGCGAGGTTGGTGAGGAGCACGGCCACGTTGAAGCCGATGTCCCGCGCCGGCTCCTGGAAGCGCCCGGCGAAGGCCTCCACGTCGATCATCTCGTTCTCGTCGGCCTCGGAGCAGGACAGCAGGAACTGCACCTCGGCCGGCTCGTATTGCTTCTGGCTGTCCATGGCCTTCTGGAAGTCCTTCTTGGAGATGAGGCCGCGCGGGTCGGACACGTAGTCGCGGAAGGCGTCGGAGGCCACGATGTCGCGCAGCTTGAGGAACATGTCGAAGAACTTGAGGATCATGGTGACGTTGCTGGAGGACTCCACCAGCATGTCCACCATCTGCCGCGCGATGGTGCCGTTCACCACGTTGCCTGTGCGGGGAAACAGGCGGTCGTGTCACCTCCATGGTGGCACCGTGGGGACACCTGGGGATGGGTGACACGGGGGCTCCCCATGCCAGAGATTCGGGCTCTGGATCCCGGAGATCCAATGAGGTCCAAATTAGGACCAAATTAGGACCTTGGGTGGCAAGAGGACGCGCTGGATGGATCCCTTGGATGGCATGGGGACACTCTGGATCATGAAGGGACAGCATTGGGACAACCCGGGTGGCCACAGGCCACCTTAACAAGGAGGCATCTTGGATGGTGATGGGACAATTTGGATAGAGCGGGAATACCCTGGGTGGCCGGAAAGACCCCGGATGGCAGGGGGGACCTCCCCGTGATTCCCGGGAATGGCCCCGGTGGCACCGGGACACGGCGAGGGAAGTGGCACCTTCCAACAGGGACAGCAGCATGACCACCATGTCCTTCTGCAGGTCCAGCAGCTCCTTGAGCAGCCCGATCTGGCTGGAGTCCTGGGGGACAAGGGGACACTGAGCAGCGGTGGCAGGGGGTGGCACAAGGGGGACACGGCGGCTGCAGCCCCCCCGCTTGCTCGCCTTGCACGCCTTGCATGTGTGCACGTTTTGCACGATTGCACGCCCTGCATGCATGCACGCCACATGTGTGCATGCCTCGCACGTGTGCACACTTTGCATGATTGCATGCTTTGCACGACTGCACGCCTTGCACATGTGCCCGCTTTGCATGATCGCACACCTTGCACGTGTGCACACTTTGCATGATTTCACATCTTGCACATGTGCACATATGCACACATTGCATGTCTTGCACTTGTGCACAATTTGCACAATTGCATGCCTTACATGATTGCACACTTTTCATGTGTGCACACTTCACAGGATTTCACGCCTTGCACATGTGCATGCCTTGCACGTGTGCACACTTTGCACGATTGCACGCCTCGCACGTGTGCACACTTTGCATGATTGCATGCTTTGCACGACTGCACGCCTTGCACATGTGCCCGCTTTGCATGATCGCACACCTTGCACGTGTGCACACTTTGCATGATTTCACATCTTGCACATGTGCACATATGCACACATTGCATGTCTTGCACTTGTGCACAATTTGCACAATTGCATGCCTTACATGATTGCACACTTTTCATGTGTGCACACTTCACAGAATTTCACGCCTTGCACATGTGCACGCCTTGCACGTGTGCACACTTTGCACGATTGCACGCCTCGCACGTGTGCACACTTTGCACGATTGCACACCTTGCACGTGTGCACACTTTGCACGATTGCACGCCTTGCACGACTGCACGCCTTGCACGATTGCACACTTTGCACGCCTTGCACGCTCTGCCAAGCGCCCGCCATGCTGGCGCGCGGGGGTGGCCGGGGGGGGACAGTGACACGGTGACACAGTGACACGGTGACACGGTGACACGGTGACACGGTGACACGGGGCGGGTGCTTACACCATTACGTGGTCCTGGCCTTGGGCCCATCTGGCAGCAGTGGAGCAGAAACGGGGGTCACAGAGGGCCCAGGGGGTGCTAGGAGCGCCAGGGGCCCAGGCGTCCGGGCAGAGCGAACCCCAGGCAGTCAGGCCATTCCCCACCCCATTCCCGGTATTCCCGGCGTTCCCGGTTTTCCGACCTGGGCCAGTTTCTTCATCATGTGCGCGAAGACGTGCAGGAAGCCCACGACGGCGTCCCAGAGGCGGCTGTGCGCCAGGCTCTGCTGGTTCCCGGTGCAGGGGCCCTGGGGACAGCGATGGGGACACCGATGGGGACAGCGGTGGGGACACCGTGGTGGCGCCAGGAAAGCGGGAGCTGCCGGGGATGCGCCGGGAAGCGCTTGGGGACACGCAGGGAAGCGCTTGGGGACACCGGGAAAGCGCTTGGTGACACTGGGGACATGCAGGGAAACACTTGGGGACACTGGGGATGCGCAGGGAAGCGCTCGGTGACACCAGGGATGCGCTTGGGGACACCGGGGATGCGCCGGGAAGCGCTTGGGGACACGCAGGGAAGCGCTTGGGGACACCGGGAAAGCGCTTGGTGACACTGGGGACATGCAGGGAAACACTTGGGGACACTGGGGATGTGCAGGGAAGCGCTTGGGGACATGCAGGGAAGCGCTTGGGGACACCGGGAAAGCGCTTGGTGACACTGGGGACACGCAGGGAAGCACCCTTGCACGACTGCATGCCTTGCATGATTGCACAGCTTGCATGTGTGCACATTTTGCACGATTGCACGCCTTGCATGCATGCACGCCTTGCACGATTGCACGCCTCTCACGTGCGCATGCTTTGCATGATTGCATGCCTTGCATGATTGCACGCCTCGCACGATTGCATGTGTGCATGCCTCGCACAATTGCATGCCTTGCTCGTGTGCATATTTTGCACGATGGCACGCCTCGCATGATTGCACAGATTGCATGTGTGCACGCCTTGCACATGTGCACGCCTCGCACGTGTGCACGCCTCGCACGATTGCACGCCTTGCATGATTACATGCCCCTCATATGTGCACACTTTGTATGGTTGCATGCCTTGCCTGATTGCACACCTTGCACAATTGCATGTGTGCATAGCTCGCACGATTGCACACCTTGCATGTGTGCAGGCTTTGCACGATTGCACGCCTTGCATGATTGCACAGCTTGTATGTGTGCACACCTTGCACGTGTGCACGCCTCGCACGTGTGCACGCCTTACACGACTGCATGCCTTGCATGATTGCACGCCTTGCACGATTGCACGCCCCACATGTGTGCATGCCTCGCACGTGTGCACACTTTGCATGATTGCATGCTTTGCACGACTGCACGCCTTGCACATGTGCCCGCTTTGCATGATCGCACACCTTGCACGTGTGCACACTTTGCATGATTGCATGCTTTGCACGACTGCACGCCTTGCACATGTGCCCGCTTTGCATGATCGCACACCTTGCACGTGTGCACACTTTGCATGATTGCATGCTTTGCACGACTGCACGCCTTGCACATGTGCCCGCTTTGCATGATCGCACACCTTGCACGTGTGCACACTTTGCATGATTGCATGCTTTGCACGACTGCACGCCTTGCACATGTGCCCGCTTTGCATGATCGCACACCTTGCACGTGTGCACACTTTGCATGATTGCATGCTTTGCACGACTGCACGCCTTGCACATGTGCCCGCTTTGCATGATCGCACACCTTGCGGTGACACCGGGGGAGTGGCGGGAAGCGCTCGGTGACACGCAGGGAAGCGCTCGGTGACACCGGGGACACGCTCGGTGACACCGGGGATGCACCGGGAAGCGCTTGGTGACACTGGGGACACACTTGGTGACACCAGGGACGCGCTGGGAAACGCTCAGTGACACCGGGGACGCGCAGGGAAGCGCTGGGGGACAGGTGGGGAAGCGCTTGGGGACACCGGTGACACTGGGAAGCGCTCGGGGACACCGGGGACAAGCCGGGAAGCTTTGGGTGACACCAAGGAAGCGCTTGGTGACACCAGCGACACTGGGAAGCGCTCGGGGACAC